GAAAAGCATCAAATTCTCGAAGAGTTATAGAGAGATGAGCTACGTCAAGGACCTGAGTTTCGAGAGATCTCCTTCGAGATTGTTAGTTGAAGCGTCGCAGTAACGGAGATTGGTGAGCTTTCTGAACCCGATTGGGGCTTACCGTAGACATGGAGAGGCTTGGAGGCAAGACCAACAACAGCGAAAGTGACGAGGCCACCCCTGTAAGTACCCCATCTGGATGAAGAAGGTGTAAGCAACAACACCGTATGGGTTGAAAGCTCGCTTGACGATGCCGCCATCGAGGAGCTGATCCTGTTCAAGGGACGGTGGCGATGGAACAGGTGGAGGGGAAGTAGTGGTGGGACCTCAGCACTATTTTAGTAAAAACATATTTAGATTAATTCATAAAAGGGTAAAATAGGTATTTTGAAAAAATATAATCTCTTTAACGTTTTTTGCCTTGGTCATTGACGGAAGGGGGGTATTTGTTGAATTTTTCAAAAATTAAGGGAAGGTTTTTACTAAAATAAAACTATAGGGGAAGTTTTTATGATTGTCAAAAACTTCAGGGGAGGTTTTGGTATTTTACCCCAAAAATAAAAATAATAATCAATAGAATGAACAAATCAGGTGGATCTAGGGCTGAACATTCGGTTAAAATCAAACTGAATAAGCCAAAATTTTAAGGGAGAAAACCCAATTGAAACCAATTTAACGAAATATCAAAATAACAAGGAAGTCTAGAAATTTTCTCATTTTTTTTAATTTTTTAATCCATGTCATTTTTGAAACTACTAATTAGAAACTCTACTTTCCAAAAAAAAATCTTCCTAAAATCATACACACACACTCTCTCTCTCTCTCTCCCTCTCTCTCTCTCTTGCACGTTCCAATAACCTAAATAATCTAATATCCTAAAATTTCTCTTAAACAATCTCCCTCATTATCCCGAACTTTCTCCTAAGTTATCACTAATTTAGTAGAGAGTTTCTCTCCTAAATTATCTCTAATTCTTATTTATCTTCTCACCCACTTTTTATCTACATCTATCTAAAGAAAGTTTGAATTAAAAAATTTAAGAATTATTTAAATATTCTAACAAAATTATATAATAACTTTTAAAATATTTATTAAAAATACAAAAAAAAAATAATTATAATCCATTTAACAATGTTCATATTATTAAATATAATAGCAAGCTATAAGTTGACCCGAATTGAGATTGTGACTAGGTCATTGGGTTGCTAGTCCAATTGGATGAATCAACAATGGATTGCAAACACATATAAATTAGCTTTAATAATAATTTAACAATGGATATACCTTTTTGTTAACTCTCCCTCACTTTTGTTAACTCACCTCCGGTTTTTTAAACCTCGCAAGACACCTTTGTCATATACATTTCTTTAGAGAAAAACCAACCTTTCGTCAAGTCTAGGGGTGGATTCGAGCCGACCCGAGCCGAATAGTAAGAGGCTCGAGCTTGCGCTTGGTTCAAGCTAGAACCTTGAGATCGAGCTTGACTTGAGAAAATGTTTTATAAAAATAATAAAAAAAA